CAAAGTTTTATTATTCAAAGTGTAGCTTTGAGATGAATTTAAGTTTACTTCTGAACTTTTCCAATTATTACATCACAAAGAGAAAATAAATTAGGAAATACTAAATTTAGCTACATATATATACACATTGCCAACAACGGGAGACAACATGTTGAAGTCATAATTATCACCCCAATGAAAATATTACAATGATAATAATTTTCTCCCTTCATCAAAACTGTAAACAATTCAAGAAGACATTATAGAAAAGAAAAAAAAAGATTAAAAAGGACTGCCCCAGAGAGACTGGAGAGTAGAAGACATGAACACACAAGTCCTATGATTTCAACTGCCACAAATTAAGTTCTATTGCTGGAACTCTACATTGTCATTCAGATCATTTATAATATTATCACTGTTTGCAAGAAGAATGAGAGCTAAAGGTTAGTCATCAGCCTTGCTCTTAACAGCAATTTTGATGCTGGTGAATGCAGTTTAACATGGAAAGCTGCTGCTGGTGGAACATCTATACTTAGAGACAAGATGTTGCCCAGAATGTTCTTTTTTCTCGTATTTCCAGTCTTCAGAATGAAGACTCTGCCGTGTCATCCAGGTGAACCAATACCTGTTCCATATGAATGGTACCAGCAAGGGGACTTTGTCATTGGTGGGATGGTATCTATGACTAGCTATCAATTTAATGAAGTTTCATTTCAGCAGCACCCCTCTCAGGAGTATTTTGGAAATCCAGAGTAAGGAATTCTTATTTTTCATCTCTAGATTGCTTCATTTATTAATGAAAATACTTTGTAATAAAAGATACTTTATAAGAATTTTATAAAGCCATTGCTTCTTTTTAATGCAACAAGATTTTATATTGGAAAAACCTTAGATTAAGAAAGCAATTCTTATCATCCATCTTTGTGTCATCTCTAGTTAGAGGAATAGCAATGAATGAAGGGAAAGGTAGATTATTTTCAATGATTCAATCTGGAACAATGGAAATAGTTTAGTGTAGTTGAATTGGAAATAGAGTTCAATTGATCATTCCCCAATTGTGCATGTGTATAAGGTAAAGCATCTCTCTGGGGTGCCATGAAAATAATAAGGAAATATTTAATGATATGTGTAAATTCATCCTGTTTTCAGCGTGCTAACAAAGTTTTACCAACATATTATTTCCTTGGTCTTTGCTGTGAAGGAGATCAATGAGAATCCAGAAATCTTGTCCAATGTCACTTTTGGCTTCTATATTCATGATAGCTACTACAATGCAATAATGACCTATAGGACCACCTTGGACCTACTCTTCAGATCAGAGAGATTTGTCCCCAACTATAAATGTGATACCAGGAGAAATCTCATTTCTATCATAGGAGGGCTCAGCCTTGGAACTTCCTCCTATATCGCAGACCTTGTAAAGTTTTACAAAATTCCACAGGTAGGTTCTTTGGGAAGAGAGGCCTGAAAATTCCCCCCCTATTTTCTTCTTTGCAAACTAGGCTTATTAAAACATCCTTATTCTCTGGCCACATTACGCAATAATCTGACCAAATTTGTTAGAAAATATGAAGAAAAAGATAATGATGATGATCTATTTGCATAATATGTGTTTCTTTTAGCTCACATATGGGTCATTTACCCCACAAGATGTTCAAAGCACTGAGATTCCATTCTATTACTCCATGGTTCCAAATGAGTCCTCACAGTACATTGGGATTATCCGACTGCTTCAACATTTTGAGTGGAGATGGGTTGGACTCCTTGCTATTGATAACAGTCAAGGAGACCATTTTCTGCAAAGCATGGAGTCCCTCTTTTCCCAGCATGGAATCTGCTCTGCTTCTACAGAAAGAATCCCATTTTTAACCTACTGGGACAAGATTTTTGAAATGATCCAAAAAGGGAGAAATATTTATAAAAACATAATTGATGAGAAGACCAACACCTTCATCATCTGTGGAGAATCTTTGACAATTGCTTTTATAACGGATATAATTTTTTGGCTTGACCCTGGACTTGAGCAGAGTTCCTTGGGAAAGGTATGGATCATGACTGCCCAGATGGATTATTTATTAACAGGAATGAATAAAAAATGGGATCGGCGATTCTTTGATGGTGCCATTTGCTTTAAAGTTCACTCAAAAGACATTCCAGGGTTCAAAGAATTCTTGAAGTTCATAAAACCTCCTTGGATTCAAGGAGATGGATTTTTTCCACTTTTCTGGGAACAATTATTTGATTGTTCATTACCATCCCCTTCTTTAACCAAACTGGACAATCCCTTTTGTACTGGAGAGGAGAGGCTAGAGGACATTCCTGGGGCTCTTTTTGAGGTAGAGATGTCTGGGCACAGCTACAGTATCTATAACGCTGTCTCTGTATTGGCTCAAGCTTTACATGCTCTTTTCTTACTTCAATCTAATCGCAGGCATTTTTTGAGGCACAAATTATCAGAATATGAAGATTCACAACCATGGCAGGTGATTTGTGTGCTACAAGTATTTTGTACTATATAATAATAAAGTACAATCCTGAGGTGTATGATTCCAAAAGGGAAGTGGCAGCTACTAAAATGGATTTGAACATTTTTCTATTGATAATATTTATTGCCATATCTTAATTTTCATCCCTGTAATTGTGGAAAATGGTGCATGAAGAGGGGAGCTGATGTGATGGACTATAGTGAAATGGTTGTTTTCTTGGAAGGAGGGAGCACATTTCAGGAAAGATTTGTGGGGATAGAAGAGGCAGTATAGCCTCAAATTCTGAGGTGACAGAGGAAGAGAGTTAGAATAGCCACACCCTAGAATTTCTCAGGGTATATCTCTCAGGGTATTTAGTATGGAAAGATTTTACTTACAGTGTGTAAGCAAATAAAAAACCTAAATTCTGGCTCAATTTTTCTGCATCAATAGAATAGAATAGAATAGAATAGAATCTGGAAGGGGCCTTTGAGCTCTTCTGGTTCAGCCCCCTGCTCAAGCAGGAAAACCTATACCATTTCAGACTAGTGACTGTCCCGTCTCTTTTTAAAAATTTCCAGTGAGGGAGCGCCCACAATTTTTGGAGGCAAGCTGTTCTGCTGGTTAATTGTCCTCACTTTTAGGAAGTTTCTCCTTAATTCCAGGTTGCTTCTTTCTTTCATCAGTTTCCAACCATTGTTTCTTGTCCTGCCCTCTTGTGCTTTAGAGAATAATTTTACCCACTCTTCTTTGTGGCAGCCTGTTAAATACTGAACTACTCCTATCATGTCACCCCTATTTTTGTTTAGAGTCATCATTCTTGGGCTTAGGTTCAAAGTAATATGTTTTCTATTTTAGTCCCTGAGCCTAGTAAAATAAACGTAGGGTGCATGGCCCAAAAAGGGAAGAAAAACTATAAGATGAATTTGAACATTAGTCCATAATAGTATACCTTCATTTTCATCACTGTAATATGGTTTATTACCTGATCATCTTCATATGAAAGGACTAAGGTTTACATGAACTAACATCGAAATCTGTTTTTGAGCCTGGTCTCACCTAATGTGCACTTATACCTTTGATTTTTCCTGCCTCAATGAAAACTTGGCCTGAAAGATTAAGGGCAATAGAAGAAGGGGACGACAGAGAATGAGGTGGCTGGATGGAGTCACTGAAGTAGTAGGCGTGAGCTTAAATGGAATCCAGAAAATGGTAGAGGACAGGAAGGCCTGGAGGAACATTGTCAATGGGGTCGTGATGGGTCGGACACGACTTCGCAATTAACAACAACAAGAAGAATCTCTCAGGGTATATCTTTCAGTCTATGTATCTTTCAGTATGGGAAGTTTTTACCTAAAGTGTGTAAGCAAATAAAAAACTTGAATTCTGGCTCAATTTTTCTACATGAATAGAATCGAATAGAATAGAATAGAATAGAATAGAATAGAATAGAATAGAATAGAATAGAATAGAATAGAATAGAATAGAATCTGAAAGGGATCTTTGAGCTCTTCTTGACCTGCCCTCTTGTGCTTTGGAGAATAATTTTACCCACTCTTCTTTGTGGCAGCCTGTTAAATACTGGACTACTGCTATCATGTCACCCCTATTTTTCTTTCATCAGTTTCCAACCATTGTTTCTTGTCCTGCCCTCTTGTGCTTTGGAGAATAATTTTACCCACTCTTGTTTGTGGCAGCCTCTTACTGCTATCATGGCACCCTTGTTTCTTCTTTTCTTTAGATTAGCCAAACCCAAGTACTGCAACTGTTTTTCATTTTTTAGTCTCCAGGCCTTTGATTATTTTAGTGGCACTTCTGTGAACTTTTTCCAAAATCACAACATATATTTTGTAGTATGGTGATCAAAATTGGTTGCAGTATTCCAGGTGTGGTCCTACTAGGGTTTTATAAAGCAGTACTAATACTTCACATGATCTAATCCTATGCCTCTGTTTATACAACCCAGGATTGTATTAACTTTTTTGGCTATTGCTGCACATTGCTGGCTCATAGTCATGTGATCATGCACTAGGACACCAAGGTCCTTCTTACAATTTCTGTTTTTGAGCCAGGTCTCACCTAATCTGTATTTATATGTTTGATTTTTCCTCCCTAAATGAAAACTTTTCTCCACATTAAAACTCATTTTGCTGGATAGGGCCCATTGTTCCAGTTCAGGGGTAGGCAACCTTGGCTCTTTTATGACTTGTGGACTTCAACTCCAAGAATTCCTGAGCCCACATGGCTGAGCTTGAAACCTCTCCCTTTTTCCCTCAGCATAGCTGGCTCAGGAAATTTGGGAATTGAAGTCCATTAGTCATAAAAGGGCCAAGGTTGCCTATCCCTGTTTCAGTTTCTCAAGATCTTTTTGAATCATGAGCTTTTCTATTGGAGTGTTGGCTATAATTGCCATTTTAGTGTCATCATTCTTGGGCTTAAGTTCAAAGAAATGTGTTTTCTATTTTAGCCCGTGAGCCTAGTAAAATAAACTCAGAGTGCATAACCCAAAAAGGGAAGAAAAAACTATAAGATGAACATTAGTCGATTGATAACTATAATACTATACCTTCATTTCCATCACTGTAATAAGGTTTATTGCCTGATCATCTTCAGTCATCTTCAGATGAAAGGATTAAGGTTTAAGTGAACTAACATCCAAATCCTAGTTTTCAAATCTTTATGGCTTTTCAGTAATTTTACCTTTTTCTGAAAATACTTGAGGAATGCTGCTTAGCTGAGGCAACTATCTTTCAGCCTTAGCATTTCCTTAAGAGCTGTATAACTGTGAAAATTTTATGCAATGAAAAATGGGTGGGATGTCAAAAACAAAGTTGGAAATTGTTTCTCTAGTTTTTCATATGTCTCTTCCTAGTCCACATGAAGGACTGGGTTCAAAAAGATATGGAAGGCTAAAAGTATACTTTACATTTCATTTGATTATTGTTAAAACTGAAATATCAGATCCTTCTTGTTATCTCCCTGTGCAGAGGATAGGAAACAAGTTCTCAAGAGGCTGGAGAAATGGACTTTGCATGTTTTCAGAGTTTCTCACTCAAAAGTATAGTACTACTTTGATAAAAATTGCTCATACATTTCTATTGTTTTATTTTCCTGTTTTATTATTCCCAATCATATAGCTCCACCAATTTCTGAAAGGCATGAAATTCAACAATTCTCTTGGAGAATCTTTGACATTTTATGATCAAAAGAAGATGGAAGGTGGATTTGATATCATAAACATTGTTGTCTTTCCCAATTCCACTTTCCAGAGACACAAGATTGGAAAAGTGGATCCTGATGCTTTCAAAGGAAAGGAATTAGTCATTAATGAGGATATGATTGTTTGGCATAGATCATTTAACCAGGTATGGTTTCAACAATATTTTGTCTGATCATTCAAATATGGATTCATTAGATTGACATATTTATTTTTATTTATTTATTTATTTATTTATTATTTTAATTTGTATACCGCCCTTCTCCCATAGGACTCAGGGCGGTTCACAGCATATTAAAAACAAATAATAAACACAAAATACAAAAAATTACAAAATACAAAAATACAGAAAATAAACCCCGATAAAAGCCGAATTAAAACCAAATATTACAAGCTGTGTTTCCAATTAA